CCAGCAAAATTTTTGTCAGTATATTATGTTAATTATCCCCTTACTTAATAGTCGTTTGTTAATGCACTTCGATTGATTCGTAACAATCAGCTTACAGACTCGTTCGAAATAAAGACCGGTGTCAGGCAAGGTTGCTTACCTTCACCCTTTCTCTTTCTCCCGGTGATCGACTAGATCATGATGACGTCAATATCCGGGAGGAAGCACGGGATACAGTGGACAGCTAGGACGGTACTGGACGATCTAGATTCAACAGATGATCTGGCTCTTCTATCACACACGCAACAACAAATGCAGGAGAAGGCGACCAGTGCAGCAGCGGCGATCTCAGCAGCAGTAAGTCTCAACATACACAAAGGGAAAATCAAGACTCTCCGACACAACACAGTATGCAACAATCGAATCACACTTGACGGAGAAACTTTGGAGGATGTAAAAACCTATACATATCTGGGCAGCATCATTGATGAACACGGTGGATCTGATGCAGATGTGAAGGCGCGGATCGACAAAGCAAGGGCAACGTATCTACAATTGAAAAACATCTGCAACTCAAAACAACTGTCTGTCAAATAACACCAAATTCAGAATTTCCAATACAAATGTCAAGATATTTCTATCGTATGGGGCGTAAAGATGGAGAACTATAAAATCAATCTTCCAGAAGATACAAGTGTTTATCAACAGCTGTCTATGCAAAATACTTAGTGTCCGTTGATCAGAAACTATCGGTAACAAACTACTGTGGGAGAGAACAAACCCAATTCAAGGGGAGGAAGAAATCAAGAAGTTCTGGAAGTGGATAGGACACACATTGAGGATAGCACCCAATCGCGTCACAAGGCAAGCCCTCGTCACTTGGAATTTTCAATGCCAAAGGAGAATAGAAAGACCAAATAACACATTACTTTGAGAAATGGAGACAGATATGAGAAGAATGAACAACAATTGGATAGAACTAAAAAAGAAGGCACAGGATAAAGTGTGTTGGAGAGTGCTGATCGTTGGCCTATGCTCCACTGGGTGTAACAAGCGTAAGTAAGTAAATCAAAAGAAGGGTGATAAAAATGCAAGATATGTGTCAAGCGGTTTGGACTACAAAACCTGAAATAGTAGAATCACACTAGTTCAGTCTTGACAAATCAACTAGCACTAACTGGTGCTTAATTAACCAATCAGCTTGGCAATGACAAAGTAACTTCTAGGACTTTATCTTAATAACATTTCATATATATGTTAAGCAAGCATTGGTCATGTTGTCCAAGACGATAAAGAAAGCTTCTCAATAAAACCATTCTGATCAGAAAATTCAATAATAAAATTTATTCACCGTGTTAGTTATATGGACGACTGAGCATCTTGCCGGAGTATAACAGAAGCTCCCCTGAAGCTAGTCGTTGTTGTCCAACTTGCTTCCAACGTGTTTCACTAATCCCAAGCACTTCTAGGTTGTATCTCCTCATTTCTGCAGCAATTTGGAAAACTCTCCCGGTCTCCTACATTGTACGAGTATTCCATGCACCTAAATAAATGGTTGCTCTGGTTGTCAGAAAGGGCATCGACCTCGTAACTTCAGAAGGAACTCACCTTTCATCATGAGGCGTCATAACTCTTCTAAACGAAGACCTTCTGATTCCCAGGGCACAGTTTAAGTTCTTTGAATAATTTTTTTCTGGTTAGCGTTTTTTAGCGAGTTAGTTTTCTATGGGATGGGGTCACTAACCCCATGCCCACCCCTCCTCGTCTATCCGGGCTTCAGACCGGCAGTAGCCCCCGGAGGGACCCCATGTGGAGTTGACTAAGCATCTCAGTGTTATCTATTTCACAGTGTTTCTCCGAGTTATATAAACTTTGATGAGATCACTTTTGAAATATACGGAGTTCCCAAGAATGATATAATTAAATACTAGACAAACAAAAAAAAATGTTTTTGATTGAGATCATGAACCGATTGATGTTAGACCACCACCTTTGGAAACCTGGAAGCACTGAACGGCCGTTTCGTCCTATTGTGGGACTCCTCATCAGTGCGCATCCACGATCCCACTCGCGGGATTCGAACTCAGGGCCTTCGGTCTCGCGCACGAACGCTTAACCAACTGGACTACTGAGCTGGCATCCAGTGGTGGTAGTGTCTAACATCAACCAATCCACGAAATTGCGCGAACAACTTCCGTTGTACTGAGGTAGATACCTGTCTCTACCCGACAAGGATTAGTTCCACTGGTCACGGCTTCTCACTAGAACTTGTTTCAATTACAATTCTGTAAAGTGTTGTAGTATTCGTATTCACTGAATTACTCGTAACTATCAGTACAGGACTATAATGATGAAATACTAATTGAAAGTAATCGAATGATAAACTTAGTTAACTTTTCCTTATGTATAAAATTTAACAAGTTTCATATGTGTAATCTTTTTCACAGCATACATTAATTGAGCTATCAAATATTATTTTAAAAGATTATTTTAACTACTTATTAGTAATATAACTGTATATCTTAAATTTCTTCCCATTTTATTCAGATGCAAATCATACTCAAGCAACAAATGGTGGTTATTCAAGAAAACCAGATGGCAATAAATTTATAGCTTGAATAGGCAATAAAAAAACCCAGCTTGATTAGATAAAGATTAACATTGATTGACACGTTGTTAAAACGTTCAAGAAATTCCTTCAGTTTATATAACAATAATGATTTGATAAACTGACACCGATTTAAATAGAAACACTATCAATAATCTTATTCTTCTTAAAGGTATTCTTTAATTAAATTTGATTGTATCTACTTTCATTCATTCAATTAAGAGTGTATTGTTCTATCTATAAATAATTAAGAATAAATGAGAGTAAATACAAACTTGAATAGATTGGAATTCTGTTACAAAATAACACTTTAACATTGATAATTCATATGTCGATAGGAGGTGGAGGAGATAGAATGTTTATTAAGAAGTAAATGTCATCGAGGTCATCCTTCTTTTTTTAAAAAGGAACTTACATATAATGTTATATCTAGAGCTTAAACTCTATGATATACCGTGTACAACTTGAGTAATCGAACGTTAGAACCCTCCAAGTTACAAAATGAGAAGTGAGAAAACGAGTGAGAAGGAATGCTATTCCGAAAGAGCGTCAAATATGGTAAAAAACTTTCAGGGATTTATAGTTTTTAGTAAAAACGAAATCATCATTATAGTTATCCAATCCACATACAGGGGTTTTTAGCATTTATTCAATATGGAAGATATACGTCGAGATTTTGTAATGTTCTTCCAAAAGATGATTGGATGGAATATCTTCAGCTCTTTCTGAGCGTCTTAGAGCTTCCTCAGGTTAACCTGTTAGCCTTTCTCACAATATAACAACACAAATAATATGAGCTCTTCTTAGACACTTACATATATATAATGACGGTTGACTAACAGTGGCTTGATACGTTCTGATCTTTATGTTACAATAAATGATAGTCATCTGTCGATAGATGTGGCTAAATTGACTAATAAAACAGGTTTATACGTATAGATCATGTGTAAATGAGACTATTGTCTGCTATTACTGTTTCCACTAACTAATCTTTAGATAAACTTATTAACATTTTGAAATTAAGTTAATGATTTCTATGGAAGGATTTGAGTAGCATCGTCGATAAACAAGAAGGATCTGGTGCAGACGTAAAAGCGAGGATTGACAAAACAAGGACAGCAGTCCTACAATTGAAGAACGTATCGAACTCAAAACAACTGTCTGTTAACCAATATCAAAATCATAATCTTCAATACGGACGTCGAGATAGTTTTACTGTACGGAGGTGAAACATAGAGAATTACCACAACCATCAGCAAATATTTACAAGCATTTATAAACAATTCTCTACACAATATACTTAATGTCCGTTGACTGGATACCATCAGTAAAACTTGAATGTGGGTGAGAACAAACCAGCTTTCAGCTGAAGAGGAAATAAAGACAATTCACTAGAGATGGAAGGGACATACATTACGGAAATTGCCAAACTACATCGCAAGGCAAGCCCTAACTTAGAATCCTAAATGGAAACGAAAAAGAAGAAGGTTAAATAACACACTGCGTCGGGAACTGAAAGCAGAAATTCAAAGGACGAATAGCAACTGGGAACAACTATAAAGGATTTTCTATGAAAGAGTTGAATTGAGAATTCTGGTGAGAGGCCTATACTCCTACATGAGGGGTAACAGACGTGAGTAAATATGAAATTAGTAATTCGTATAAAAATAAAACTAACATTCTATAACTGAGAATAAAATGCCTTGACTGTGACAAACTCTAATATGATTTATTGGGTTCGAAAACACGCTTAAGTGACCTTTTGAGAATGTCCATCTACTGACCAGGACTAAATGGGGGTTATAAATCAGTGTGAGGAATCAGAGTTATGATTTACAATTCATGGTTAAGGTTAGGAATTAGATTTAGTGTTTTTGTCACGAACTGACATCAGCTATAATGCCAAAACTCTATTTAGTCATATGGATGGATAAATGTCGCACCAAAATCCGAGACCTGATATCTTGTACCTGATTGGTTCGTTTATAAATAATGACATAGCCAAATGTATTCTCAAAATAATTAAATAATCTAGATAAATATTCAATATGGCAAGACTATAATTTATGGACGAGCCAATAAGGAGCGTTTGAGAGATCTCAAGGTCACAGAGCCAGTTTCAGTACCTGATGCTCACGTATGATCGATTTACAGCGGATCTCAATCAGGACATTACAGATGAGTGGCTACAACATATGGGATTACTAAGAAGTACCTGTATTTATGATTATGGTGTTCAAATGGCTGCTGAAAATTGTGAAGTCCATCGTGATGATGTTGTATTACGATGTAATATATGTTGGAGGAAAAAGTTTGGTAAAACAAGGACTTTTGTCGCTCGATCCAGATTGATAATTGTTGTGAACTGGATAATAAAAACATCAGTAACATTAGCTGCAGGTTTTCCATGATGGTCTAACTTCAATGGACTCATGATCTCAACTATTAAAATGGAAATATTACTGAATTAAGAAAAACAACACCTTTTTTTTATAAAACAAAGATCCATTGACAACAACCGATTCAGTTCGAACAACACACTGAAGGAATTGAAGTACATAAAATGTATGTTATGAAGGTAATAAATCATTGTTTATGGTAAAACATAATAATAGTACAAACCATAATAGAAAAAAACATGATGAAAACCGTTGAATAAATCAAAAAATAGAAGTGGAAGGCAAGTTTCCCTCTCCCCCCTCTCTTGCCCTCTCTCTCCCTCTCTCTGTGAACTATTCACATTTGTGCATTTGTTTGTTTGTCTTTATTTGTTTATCTTTTGTGAATGAGTAAACATAGGTGCATTGGTGAATACTTAGTGTATGTATGTGTGTTGTGGGGGGGTGATAGAGTGGAGACTTGGCAATAAGTTCATTCTAATGAACAAATAGTTCTGAATAGACATTTACATTATACATGTATTGTTAATGAAAGGGAAACATGTATCCAGGTTTGTGTTGTTTGTTTGTTTGTTTTTACAAATAAACAAACATGTGACAAAACAAATCGGGCTTTTTTTCTCCTTCTTCTTCTTCTTCTTCTTCTTCTTCTTCTTCTTCTTTAAATATCATAATTTCTTGGCATATTAATTAAATCAATAGATTCTGGTCCACGACGATATCTTCGCCATATTGTTCGACGACATCCACAAATAAGTACAGTAAGTGTACAAATGAAGCCACCAATAATAGCAAATGCTAATATAATTAAACCATCATCTGAAATAGTCGAAGAATAAAAGAAAAAACAAATATAATAGATAAGTAAAGATGGATAGTGATATCCAGAACGCGCGTCTCGTCCTATTTAGGACTCGTCAGTTGGATGTACTTGTAGCTCAGAGTTGATGTTCATTCTGGCTAAGTGAATAACGTGATAATGTTTGAAGAGAGTGATACTGGATTCGAGTCCCAGATGTTTTCGAAGTAGTGTTCTGGTATGTTAGGATTATCGAGTGAACAATGCTATATTCAAATGTGAAATAATAGGTAAAGATGGTAGATCGATTGAAGAGGTAATAAAATTTCATTGAGTACGATGATTATGATATGTAGTAAGTAGGCCATATCATCACCTACCTTGATATGAGATGATGGCTGGGGCAAAACATTATCAAAGAAAAGTTAGAAGTCAAATAAAAACATAGAATCTATCTATAGAATCAATAACTTTTATAGTGAGCAGTGTTAACAGATGTAGCCTATCTGATTGGGATTCGAACCATAATCGCAACCAATTGTTGAAGATGGATGATATGGATCAGAATCAGTTGTAATAGCATAGATACATTCACACTTTCTCATAAAATACTTATACCTTTTAACTCAATGATTTCATTCTTTGTTATCAAGTTATATTGTATATTATCAGAAGGGGTTTGTGGACATTTTTAGAAATTTTCACAGATTGAAATCATGAGTCAGTTGAAGCTAGACCACCATTGAAAACCTGGAAGCACTGGACGGCCGTTTCGTCCTAGTATGGTATATGGTGGCGCAACTTCGTGGATTGGTTGAAGTTAGACATTAACACCGTTGGGTGCCGGCTCAGTGGTCTAATGGTTAAGTGCTCGCGCGCGAAGCCAGTAGGTCCAGTGCTTCCAGGTTTTCAATGGTGGTCTAGCTTCAACTGACTCATGATTTCAATCTGTGAATATATTGTATATATTTAATCTTGTCTACTACTACCCTTGAGACTCTTATTAGTTCTACAACTCTGTAATTTGTCATTTCATTCCAAAGACCAATACACATCAATTAAAATATATTCCATTACACAAACCACTGGCTATCTGGACTCAGTAAATAAGTGGATTATATCGTGGCATTTGAAGAGGAAGGTACTGAGCACCGGAGCGAATATCGACCATAAGATACAGGTACATCCAGCTGTCAAGTCCAAAATAGGGCGAAACGTGCGTTCTGTATTCCAATGCTAACCGCCATCCATCTCTGCTTACAAATAAACTACGGTCTAAAACAGGATGAATATCATTAAATATTTCAATCTTATGAATGGTAGGTAGTGATCTTGTGTTGGCCGCTAAACCTCTCACTATATATCATGAACCATACGTTAAAATACGGTTGTGGTCGTATTTATCAAGTCTCTAACCATTCTTAGTAGAGAAATACGCAAGAGTCTGGATAAAATTTTGGTAACATTAAACTATGAAACCATAGCAGACCATTCCTGAAAATCTTGAATTCCGAGGAAATTTTATCTTTATAATCGATATGATAATCAATTTTATTTACAATAGATGGATCCTGGGTAGCAGTGGGATCCAACACATATCTTTCATCTTATTTGGGAATCGTCAACCGAATTCACAGGCAAGATAAGAATTTATGGATGACCTTGGAAGGAATCCCAAATGACCTTGAAACATCTCAGTAAATCAAAAAACGGTCAGTATAGAGTAAGAATATATTAAACAGAACCAAAAAATTAGAGTGTACACACTTCTGTAACTTGGTTTAAAAACTTTTCAACATTATGAAGAGGCTCTAAAGTTCTGAAATCGTAATGCATACGATACAGCAATTCATCGATGTGACTCTGTAATAATAGACCTCTGGAGCCATGATAAGGTGGCGAAAATTCTTTTAGCCTCGGTCACATTGCTTCTATATTATTTTCGTGTACTCCGGTGGTGGGTTCTACGATGCATGTAATCAAGTGTATGTGAGCATCGGTATGCTCTCCAGCCATCTATGTATATTGTGGTGCGCGGCTACACATACTGCCATATAAGTAGTAATATCGTTGTGGCCTGTCAGTTTCTCAAATACTTGAAGTGACCTCTTTGAGATGATCTATCATATGTACTAAGGACCTGTTATTTGTACTTAAGGAGGTGCTACTTACCCAGTCTTCTTTAGCACTTCGTCCTCTATTCAGTTTCCGTTTTCTGACGACCGTTTCGGCTATTATTATTACTACCATTGTTATCATTGTTGTCATTATGGGTTTCTAGTGTTTTAATGCAAAGCTGCAACCAATTGAATTCAACCCTGTCGAGTATGAGGAAGGTACCCACCAAAAACAGATTGATTGAAGTTAGACTTGTAAACTATTGGAATTCAGCTCTCTAGCGTAGAGGATAGTCGTTTACTCACAAGGCTGAAGGTCCTAAGTTCGACTCCCAGTTGTGGAATGGTAGATGAGTCACTATTGAGGAGTCACATATTTCCACTAGTTAACTAACTTAAATCAATTTGTGATTACAATCATTATCATTGTTAGACTAAATCAATACTTACACATACAACGTCGTCCAGGATAATTAGCATCGAATGATGCATCAATTGTAAAAGGATTACACTCGCATATATAAGTACCTTGTGGTTGTACAATACATTTAGCATTTATTGAACAATCATGATTACCATTTTTACAAGGATCATGAACTGTAGAAAATAACAATGGAAAGTAAAGGAAAGTGTTGATCAATAAAATTGGTGATGATTTTGTGATAAGATAAGATTGAAATAAAATTTACCTGAAGTAGTTTTTATGCAATAGTGAAAGCCAATAGTTTTAGCAAGTACTTATATCATTTAATTATTGAAGTTTATGTTGACTGTTACATAGATTCTCCATAAATCTCTTTGTTGATAATTAACATTTGATCATTAGTAACTAGTTTCAAACTGTAATTCTGAGGTAAGATGGTGGTTGGAGGTAGTCGACAGGAAACCATGGACCAAGGTTTCGTGCTACGTGGTACTCGTCAGTAAAGTGTACCTGTAATCTTGAGGGAACTGGTACTCCCTGACGGACTCGATCCCGTATCACCCGGCTTTACAGTCAGAGACGTTACCACTGGGCTATCTGGGTTGCGATTAAGCTCCTGTCGGACTGAGTTTTATTCACAATAGTTTGACCACTGGTTGGCGATCAATGTCATGTGTATCTTATCACAACATAGTTCACACAATGTTGAGTCACCTAGATTAGTGGCCACAGTCGATAGCATTTGGTCTGCACTAAGAAGGAATTGATACACATAACATTGATTACCATCCAGTGATCAATCAATTGTAACTTCCATAAACCTCACTATTGCTTATTAATATCAATTCAGTTTGAGTGGTTGTAGGATCATTAAATAAAACAATACTTCATAAGATATTACTTAATAATTTTTTTCTAGTTAGCGTTTTTTTAGGGAGTTAGTTTTCTACGGGATGGGGTCGCTAACGCCATGCTCAACCCTCCTCCTTTATCTGGGCTTGAGACCGGCAGTAGCTATCGGAGGGACTCCAGGTGGAGTTTTCATAAGATATTAGTCCAGAACAATAAAATTTCACTTTCAAACTATAAGGAATTATCGTAGAAAAATCAATATCAATGAATAATAATGATTATTTTTGCATATGTGGTCTAACTTCATGATCGAATTTTTAGAAAAAGTCAATGGGAACCTGTAAACGAGATTGTAGATCAATACTATGAAGCATAAACTGATCATGATTAACACATAATTACTTGTACTCATGTTATTAAAGGTCATCTGATACTTTATATCTTCTCAAACTATATTCTTCATCCTACGATGAGACTCCTTAGCAGTGCGCATTCATGTCTCAAACTATGAAGCTGATTGACATGACATTCTAATCTCTCCAAATACATTAGATTTTCTCATTTTGAGCCGTGATGACTGATCTCAAATGGTGAGAGACCCAGGTCAAGCAGAGTTTCTTACCAACTACATCTGATTACATGACATTTAAGATATGTACACGTGATGTCAAAACCGTTTAGACTAACAGTGAGCACATTACAATTTGATCTATATGATTCGATAAGCATCAAGAATAATATGACTTGACTTAAACACATAAATATTGGTACAAGGGGGCAACGAATACATATGCGCCACACAATTCACTTGATTTTTGTGTGGGATGGGATACTGTGCGGGTGCTCGTACCGAAGAAGTTGGTTTTCTTAGGGGTTCACACCAGGAGCCTTCGACCTAAAGATCTGATCCAGAAGGCAGTAGGGCAACGTCAGGTGATGGAGTGTCCAGGTGGCAAGTGACCGACAATAGGTTCATACACTATTTGTCCCTTCAGGATCTTGGATCCCATGTAAACTATCGGTTTGGAATCAGGGTTTCCCAATTCACCTAGGTGGACTCCCCGTGTCCACCAACCCGGTTAAAGCGCCAAACATTTGCTTCTTGTCCTCTCAATTTCGTAAACAACATCCATAGTGCGAGAAGGCAGTGAGTAGAACTTCCGTCGCAGAGACTGTTTACGCATGGCTATGTTAGAGCATTTGAAGAGGGAGAGCAGTCTCTCCCTACTCTTGGTCATACCAGGGCGCATGAAACCGATAGGTTTTGGGTTCGAATCTTGCAAGTTGAGATCGTGGATGGCCATCGAATACTTCCAGATTTTCGATAGTAATCTAACTTCAATTGAGTCATGATCTCAACTATTGGAACTATTATTATTATTATTATTATTACTGATATTCATTATAAGTAGTACTTACCATGAACTTTAAACGTTGATGAATTCCCAGAAATGATATCATCTAATGAAATGGTTTTGAATTCATTTAAACTTGGATCCATTGTTTTTAATCCAGTTATAATTTGATTTTGTATTAATGTTAAATTTATCAATGGAATTAATGATAATTCTATATCTAATATTAATGCAACTTCAATTATAACTGATAGTTTATGATAAGTAATTAAATAACAATCAATAAATGAATTCGATAATTGTATATTTGATCCACGAATGATACTTAATTTAAGCTAAATTACAACAATAACAAGAACAACAAGAAGGAAAAAGAAGGTAGATGAAATAAGGTTATAATAGTAAATTGTCAGTGACTATATTGATTATTGATTATGAATATGTCTTGTCATTACTTATTTTATTTTCCCTAAGTATTATCATTTCATTCTGTTTGTGTGTGGGCTGTGATACTTCCCGGGTGCCCAGACCGAAGCAGGTAGTTTTCTTAGGGGGCCGTTCCCCGAGCCTTCGACCTGAAGGTCTGATTCACAAGGCAGTGGAGCATCGTAAGGAGATGCAGTCCCATGGTAGCCGGTGACCGAAAAATTGGTTCATACGCCATTTGTTCCCACAGGATACTGGAGCCCATGTGCACCAATGGCTTGGGATCCGGTTAAAGCGCTGGACATTTGCTTTTCATCCTCTAATTTTCGTGAACAACATACGAGGTGCGAGAAGGCAGTGAGTAGGACTTACCTGGCAGAGGCTGTATACGCGTGGCCGTGTAAGAGCATTTCGAGAGGGAGGGCGGACCCACCCCACTTTCGGCTATACCAGGGCATTTGGGGGTATGTCTTGTCAAAATGGACGTTACTTGTTATATATCGGATCATCATTGATTGTTATGTCAGAAATGTTTATCACTTATATTCGAAATGAGGGAATTGTGTAATTTTTACAAGAAAGTCATTTAGTTAGTTAGTTGGTCAGTCAGCTAAAACGTAGGATCAGGCACACATATACATCGGTTCAAGTTGCCATACCTCATTAACACAACAAGATCAACACCGAAATCATAGATGTAGTTAATTCAATGGTGGTAATATATAAAAGAATGATTTTGTATAAAGATATAGTACAGGAAGAAAGAATTAGTTCGTAGAAAGAAAGATATGAAGCGATTTTAATCTCATAGTTTAAGGGAAGACAAAGAGTGTTGTATACACCAACGCCATTGTGATCGATTGTGAGCCATGTCACACAGTCTCCAATCATTGGTTACGATAGTCACGCGGACCCCAACCAAGTAGTCTGCATCTACCGAAATGGCTAAGACACGAAAGTAAGAACACAAACACTGGTATAAGTGGAGATTTATTGACCACAGAACACGATGAAGACAACGATGATAGTTCAAGTTACTCTAATTTATCTAATGATTGTAAACCCATTTTGATTAATAATTAGGATGAAGTCATATCTATAAAAGTTACAGTTATAACAGATTGGTTGGTTGATAACAAGATATAGACTGAAAAAAAGTAATACCTAAAAGGTTTGTGTAATATTCTGTCTAATCTGTTTTATATCAGTCAGTTAATTCGTATTTACTTATAGGTCTTGATCACCTATGTAGTCATCAGTATTTATTGCTGAGCATTTCAATATTAGTGTGGTGTGTGCTACTGATGTCGACAGATATAAGTAGTATATATCCTCAAATGAAAGTGAATTGCCTAGGAACAAAAGGTTAGGAAGATAGAAGAAAAGAGAACGAGAACAGTGAATGATTGCTGTGGAAATGAAGGAACAATGGAGTCTCAAACGATTGATTGACATTTGCAAAAGGAACAGTCAAGTTTGTGACAATTGATTGACACTTTGCAAATGAAGAATTTACTGTATGGTTCTCAGATTTTAGTAAAAGATTCTATAATTTCGCGCTGAATTACATTCTATCTTCCCCACATTTTCTCTTGCTCATTACACTAAAACGAATTGGTTATCCAGTACTGGATAGTTTTCAATGGTACCCAAACTGAAACTAACCGTAGCTTTTAATTCCTACTCAATCGATCTGTCACAAATGAATATATATCTGCTACATAGATAAACTCTTCACTGATAAATAATAATAATAATGTATATCATTGAAATCATCAACCGATCGATATTGGACCATCATTGACAACCTGAAAGCATTAGACGCTCATTTCGTCCTAGGGTGGAACTCCTCAGCAGTGGACATCTACATTTCCATGCGTAAGATTCTTAATGAAATTCAATAATCTTTACAACCCCAAACTGAAAACAATCAATATACTTTCATTTATCAATGATGTCACTAACAAATATGCTGAAAATGATGTTATTTATGATTAGACTATTGGGTTAAATGATTTGTCACTGCTTTCTTGACGATGATGTTGTTTATGATGATGACAAGCTGAAGTATTTACTTAGCTAATATAGATATATATCGGGAGAGAGAGAGAGACCCATATCACACCCTATTCCAATCTATAGTAATGCTTATCTGTATACGTGAAAGATAATAAACTATTGGTGGTAGTTTATGAGCTAGTTATAACAATAAAACAGATTACATATGCAATCATCCTAAGTAAAAGTACAAATCGATGTAAATAGTGATAACAATGCTAACAGTTAAAATGAATAATTTGAATTCATATATAATGGTTGTTTAGACCTTACCTGATTAGCGTTTTTGTCTAAACAAGGTTGTTGTTGTTGTTGTTGCAGATTTAAAAGGAGAGATTGTCAAAGAAAGGGTGGTATTCCTACAGTTGAAGATATTATGGATGTCAAAATAACTTTCAACCAATATCAAAGTCAGTATCTTCAATACAAACATCTAAACAGTCCTATTGTATGGAGCTGAAACTTTGTGAGCTACTACAATCATCATCAAACAACTGTCTATGCAAGATACTCAATATTCGTTGGCTGGATACCATCAGCAACAACCTACTGTGGGAGAGAATAAGTCAGATTCCAAATGAAGAGGAAGTGAGAAAAAAATCGTTGGAAGTAGATAGGACATACATTTGTGGAATTGTCAGACTGAATCATGAGGCCAAGTCTTAACTTGGAATCCCGAATAGAAACGGAAAAGAGGAAGACCGAAAAACATGTTTCGTCAGGGATTTGAAGCAGACATGAAAAGGATGAATAGCAACCGGAAACAACCAGAAAGGATTGTCCAGGACAGAGTTATATGGGGAATGACGGTGAGCGACCTATGTTCCTCCAAGAGAGGCAACAAGCTCAAGTGAGTAAATAGACCTGCCGATTAATGGTTAGGACTGCAATTAATTCGTATTTCGGCATATGTGGATATGTAATCATTTGCAGTCCTAAACATTAATGGTAAGATCAAAACAAGCGATATATAGGAGTTAAAATTCACTTGATTGAACAAACCAGTGACTATCTGGACTCAATAACTAGGTAGATAACATTATGATGTTTGAAGCGGAAAGTACTGAGTTCAAATATCACAGTGAACATAGACTGCAGGATGTAGGTACAATCAGCTGTCAAGTCCGAAATAGGGTGAAACTTGCGTACTGTACTCTACTGCTAACCACCATCTATCTCTGCTTCAAGCTTGACTTACTTTGCTTATATCTATTATTCCATTTAAAATGATTACGATTTTTTTAATACCGTGAACCCCGAATGAGGGATCGTGGATGAACGCTGCTGAGGAGTCCTATACTAGGACGAAACGGCCGTCCAGTACTTCCAGATTTTCCATGGTGGTCTAGCTTCATTTAACTCATGAATTCAACTAATAAATTACTATAATACCCAGAAAACCCCTCTCTGATTTAATTATTTATCAAAATGAAAGCTTTCAATTAAAACTTACAAGTTTACAAACATCTAATGCTTTAATGGTAGATAAATAACTTGACTTATTTTCAAAGTCTTTTTGCCAGACAGCTTCTTTGCCATTATCGTATATTTTAAGTTCTACGACAAATATAAGGTCATCTGAAAAATTACGAAAAAAAGGCAGAGAAACTTACAGATATTGATAACAGTATTATAATGTAGTAAACAAATTACATCCTGTGCGATAAGATGGCGGTTCAAGATAGTCAACAGGAAACCCTGGACCCAGCTTTCGTGTTATTTGACACTCGTCAGGAAGATTTACCTATAATCTTGAGGAAACTGGTACTCCCTGACGGATTTGATCCCGTATCATCCAGTTTCACACTTAGAGACATTACCACTGGACTATCCGGGCCGCGACTGACTTCCTGTTAGTCTGAGTTGCATTCACAATTGATTGATCACTGGGTGGTGATCAATATCGTGTGTGTCAGGTCCTTCTTAGTGCAGATCGAATGCTACTGACCAAGTTGCAATGTGGCCACTAGTTTAGGTGACTCGACATTGCGTGCAGTATGTTGAGATAAGATGGTGGGATCGAATCCGTCAGGGAACACCAGTTCCCTCAAGATTACAAATTACATCTTGCTGACGAGTGCCAAATAGCACGAAAACCGGGTTCAGGCTTTCCTGTTGACTACTTCCAACTACCATCTTCTCTCAACATAGTGCACGCAATGTCGGATCACTTAGACTATTGGCCACATTACAACTTGGTCGATAGCATTTGATCTGCACTAAGAAGGACCTGACACACATGACATTGATCACCACCTAGTGATCAATCAGTTGTGAGTACATCCTGTGCGGATTTCCTAGATATTGCTTGAATTCACAAACATTGTAAACAGAGATGAATGATGGTTAGCAGTCTTGGATTTTACTACTAGCCACCTTGCTTATAATGCTTTTTACTTTCTGTTTGAGATTTTTTTGAATACAGTCAACGTGAATGCATTTCTTTGTAAATCTTAATAAATCGTTGGAAGTTCTCTATAAATAATCTGAACCGTTCAAAAAAGGTTATGTTCATTTGATCTTAAATAAGACCAACGATAGTTACATTCGTAGGTGGTATTCGTTAGATGTAGTATCACTGAAAGCTAAGGAGTGATGGACTGTCATTTTATCTCACTATTAGAGTCACCATAGATGCTCACCCATAAATAATTGCGGATTGAACTTAAGATCTATAGATCTACCAGTGAACACTCAACCATTTAAATCATTAGATTTTTACCCGATGGTCCAGTTCAAACTTCAATTAAGTTGTGCTATAGGGTAACGATCATTGTTCATGGATTGTCTATTCTATCTCAAACTTACATGCTAGTCTTTAGCCGAAATATTCAATGATAATATCTCTGATTTTGGAATTGAGTGAGGTCTGTTGAAGTCTCGCTAAAGGAACTGACCCTTCCCCCCCAAGAAATTGGACAAACAATTTGGTTGAGGTGTAGCAACTAACATGGAATCTGCATCGAAGATTATATTAAATCACTTAACATTAAAATTGTACTTACTTACTTACCATTTACTGGATGGTAAACGGACATATTTATCTCTACACAAGATTAATCAACCTTTGAACCGATTGGTCACTGAGTACTGGTCAATGCTATACTTGTCCAACATTCAGAGCTGATCGAATTCAATCAATCAAGCTGAAATGTAGATACTAGTCTGAGTTACTTGACATCATTTTACTATTTTGAGGTGTTGAATGGTTTAAGGTAATCAGCTGGAAACCCTTGTTTCATCTAGATCTTATACTAGTTGATACTCGTAAGAATGACGTGACTGTTATCTGTTAGAAACTGGTATTTTCTGGTGAAGTACTGGATGGCCGTTTCGTCCTAGTATGAGACTCCTCAGCAATACACATCCACAATCACGCTCACGGGATTCGAACCCAGGACCTTCGATCACGTACGCGAACGCTTAACATTTAAATCACTGAACTGGTATTCAACAGTGTTAATGCTTAACCTTAACCAATCCACGAAATTGCACGACCATCATCCATTGTACTGAGGTAGATATTTGTCTCTAGTCTTTTTTAAATTTTTTGGACCATTAATAAAACTCTAATCTACTAATTAACAAACATCTTAGTTGATAATAATACATGAATGTTAACCGTTAACTTACGTCTTTGACATCGTTTCCCACGTGTATGATCTTTACATAAACATTTTGGTGTTTTTGATGTACCAACACATGTTCCACCATATTTACATGTTGATTCTTGACAATTTGTTAAATCTGTTTCTGCCTCTTATAATACAATGAAAGAAGAATAAAATAGGAACTTTCGAATAGAAATTCGAAAAAATCACTTGGAAAGTTTCTTTGTTTATATGATGTAATGACATTAGCCAGACAAACATTTAGAATTGAGAAATACTGGAGGGCTTTTTTACATCGAAGTATACGGTCTCGACTACATTACTTACCAGGGGTCAAATTCATGACCTTCAGATGATGAAGAATTCAACCTGAAGTTTGTACTGATGGTGTTGTTCAGAAGAATGATGAAAACTCCACGATCAAACCATCCAGCTCAAAGAACAAAACTCTATCAAAATCATGACCATCAAGTTATATGATGAGTGTCTAATCTTTAGATCAATACGATAGCATCCAACGGTCTATATTTCTAACTTTGATCAGTCATGTAAACTATGAAACTGAAAAATCTCTGCAAACCTTTTATATCAATAGTTTATAGGATTAACTGAGAAGTAGAAAGCGTTGGACATTTGTTTCGTTCAAGTTCGGGACTGTTTATCAACATGCCCTTAAAACATTCAGGCCTTACAGAAACCGTAATAATATCATGTCACTGGATTGATGTGTAGTTATAAACATTTCCAACTATATTCAATGTGTAATAAAATGAAATATACACATCAGTCGTCACTAACCGGTGTTAGAGATAGCTGGAAGAAAGTTAGGGGTGGCCAAACCAAAACGTGGCATCAGTACTTGAAGTCATTAACTTCTGGTCTGATCCATGTTGGTAGATGCAAACTACTTGGTTGGGGTCCACGTGACTATCGTAACCAATGATTGGAGACTCTGTGTGACATGGCTCACAATCGATCACAATGGCGTTGGTGTATACAACACTCTCTGTCTTCCCTTAAACTATGAGATTAAAATAGCTTCATATCTTTCTTTCTACCAACTAATTCCTTCTTCCTGTACTATATCTTTATACAAAATCATTCTTTTATATATTACCACCATTGAATTAACTACTTCTATGAATTCTGTGTTGATCTTGTTGTGTTAATGAGGTATGGCAACTTGAACCGATGTATATATGTGCCTGATCCCACGTTGTAGCTGACTGACTGACTGACTAACCTTCAATCGTTTTCACAGAGTCTAGAGTCCTAGATTGAGTGTTGATAACAGTTTATTACAATAAAAGATATCGACAAAATATGATTTACTGATACAATTAGCAAGATGGTTTAGACGTTGCTTAGCTCACTAGCTGTCCAGAAAGTTTATTTCTCAATGATGAATCAACTAAATATCATAATTCCTAGACCATCGTTTCCCTTCCCTATATTCTTTAGATCTCGTCCTATTTGGGACCCGCCAACTGGATTTACCTGTATCCTTGAGTAGACGATCACTCCAGGCCTCGAACCTGACATAGTTCGCCCTAAACACCATAAAGTTATCCACTTAGCCACTTGTTTGTGCAACGGGATGAAGTTTAAATTCACTTGATATTATTTACTTAAATCTTTTTGTGGGTGGAGTTTTGTTCTCTGAGATGGATGGTTTGGTTGTGGAGCTATTATAATTCTTCTGAACGACATCATCAACATAAACTTCAGGTAGAAGTCTTCTCATTAATATTTAGGACTGCAATTGATCAATCTCTTATTGGCATATGTGCATACTGTGCATATTGTCTGGATATTGCCTTAATTTACAAGCATGCTAAGCGCAGATGGATAAAAATTCACAAAACTTTAGGAGAGAAGAGGTTTATTCACAGACATTTATCAGGCATTTCTTTCACTTAGCGTATGAGAAATTTTGTGTGATAATTCTGTTTTAGGTTGAGATAATGAATTAATTGATGTTAGACCACCGTTGGAAACCTGGAAGCACTGGACGGCCGTTTCGTCGTAGTATGGGACTCCTCAGCAGTGCGCATCCACGATCCCGCACCCCGCGGGACTCGAACCCAGGACCTACTGGCTCCGCGCCTGAGCACTTAACGATTAGACAATTGAGCCGGCATCAAATGGTGTTAGTGTCTAACATCAACCAATCCACGAAATTGCGCGACCACCTTCCATTGTACTGAGGTAGATACCTGTCTCTACCCGACACGGATTAGCTCCACTGGTCCCGCGGGGTGCGGGATCGTGGATGCGCACTGTTGAGGAGTCCCATACTAGGACGAAACGGCCGTCCAGTGCTTCCAGGTTTCCAACGGTGGTCTCACATCAATAAATTCATGATCTCAACCAAAAACTTAACAATCTCCACAACCCCCATACTGATAATCCTGTTTTACATTAAAATTTAAGTGATAGTATGGTGTGTGCTACTGATATCGACAGAGATAAGTAGTATTGTAGTGAACAAGATCATAAGTGGGGACAATCGAATGTATTTGAATACAAAATTACAGAACATCTTCGTAAAATCTGGGAACCACACAGTAAATAATTGATTTCCAAAATGTTAATCAATCGTCTCAGTACTTATTTTTTTCGTCATTTTTACAACAATCATTCTCTGTTCTCACCCTCTTTCCTTCGATCTCCTTAAACTCCTGCCTCTAGGCAATTTACTTTCGATTGATGATACATACTACTTATATCTGTCGACATCAGTAGCACACACCACAGTATGTATCATCAATCGAAAGTGAAATGCCTAGTAGCAGAGGGTCAAGATGATCAAAGAAAAGAGAATGAGAACAGACAATGATTGCTGTGGAAATGAAGGAACAATGAAGTCTGAGACGAATCACTGACATTTTGCGAATGAAGAATCTAATGTATAATTCTATAATTTTGTATCAAAATATATTCTATTGTCCCCACTTGTGATCTTGTTCACTACAAAAGCATTTCATTTCAAAAATTCTGCATTAATTAGAATTATTGTTTATAACTATTAAGTAAGTCAATCAACTATATTTCTAGTTTTTGAAAAAATACTGACCTTTACCCAACAGTAGTAGAACCCAGGTCAAGCGATTTGACCTATTTGGAACTCATCAGCCAGGATATACCGGCATCCCAGATTTGATGTTCCAAACAGGATCAAAAAACGCATCCTGAAGTTCACTGCTATCCATATTCTACCAATTCTATGATAATTTGTGTTATGATAAGTGTATCGGAGCGATTCCCATATGATACGTATATACGAACTAAGACCGATTACAATTCAGTCAAAATATCAACAATCAGATAGTTCAGAACTATTAATAATGAAATTAAAACATATAGCGTTTTAGCATACTTGGTATGTGTTAATTGTGTAATATCAGGACTGGCCTGCGTCAACATCCAAACTAAAGATAGGGTGTGAAATAGTCGAACACGTTGATAACTTCATTTATCTTGGAAGTCCGATCAGCCCTAATGGGTTAGTGTCTGACAAAATCTCAGCACGGATTCGAAAAGCTCTTTTGGCTTTCGTCAAACTACGACATCTTCGGCGAAGGTGAGATATCCGTCTATCAATTAAGGACGAGTATACTGCGCGGCAGTTCATTCTGTTTTAATTTACGGCTGCGGAACGTGGCCATTAAGAGTAGAAGACACCCGTAAGCTACTAGTATTTGACCACAGATGCCTTAGAAATATTGTTGGCATCTGCTGGGATCACCGGGTAAGTAATAGTGAGGTTAAACGCAGGATATTAGGGAACGATGGTAAATCAGTCGGTGAGGTTGTGAATCTTCATCGACTGACATGGTTGGGCCATGTGTTGAGTATGCTGAACATCGATTACCACGAAGTACAATGCTAACTGGTGTTGGGGATGGTTGGAAGAAAGTAAGGGGCGGCCAAACCAAAACGTGGCATCAGTGCTTGAAGTCACTAACTTGTAGTCTGAGCCATGTTGGTAGATGCAAACTACTTGTTTGGGGTCCCCATGACTATCGTAACCAATGATTGGAGACTCTGTGTGACATGGCTCACAATCGATCACAATGGCGTTGGTGTATACAACACTCTCTGTCTTCCCTTAAACTATGAGATTAAAATAGCTTCATATCTTTCTTTCTACCAACTAATTCCTTCTTCCTGTACTATATCTTTATACAAAATCATTCTTTTATATATTACCACCATTGAATTAACTACTTCTATGAATTCTGTGTTCATCTTGTTGTGCTAATGAAGTATGGCAACTTGGATCGATGCACATATGTGTCTGATCCTACGTTGTAGCTGACTGACTGCATTCTGTCTTACATACAACTCATCAGCTAGAGTTTAGGATCATATAGCCACATGAGTTTAGTACTTTTTATATCAAACACCTAATGTGCTATTTAATAAACAACTAAATCTAGAATATCATTCATTTGTTCAATCAGTATGGATTTCTAGTTTCAATTTATTGATATTTAACACTACCATTGATCACTCTCTCTGTGTCCCTGTTACATCATAAGTCCATTGCCTCAATACAGTTTTATGTCACGTCAAATTATTCAGGTTACAATAAAGAGCAATAGAAACTAATCTCTTATAGTCTTAAATATTGACAATTTGATATGATAAATCACTGTTAAAACATATGATTATTGTCTTATTATTATTATCATTAGAGTAATCTCTTGTTCTGTCATCTTATCACATATTCTCTTTATTGTTATCATGTTATCATTTAGGTGTAATTCAAGTAGAAACTTGAATTGCTTTGATTAAGATCATGAACCGATTGATGTTAGACCACCATTGAAAAACTGGATGCACTGGATGGCCGTTTCGTCCTATTGTGGGACTCCTCAGCAGTGCGCAATCACGATCCCGCTCGCGCGACTCGAACCCAGGGCCTTCAGTCTCACATGCGAACGCTTAACCTACTTGAATGTAGTTTACATTCACATCCATATATATTCTTAAACATGATCTTTATATTATGCAACATAATGTAGTTCTTTAACCTTTACTTTTCCCTGTAAATAAAATTATCCTAGTACTTGACTAGGTTTCTAAAATTAGAAAGAAATAGTAATCTGCAATTGATACGAGCATTAACAATAGTTAAGATCA